CTACATGAGAAGACGGACTTGATGGCTGATGCGATCAGAAATTTTGAACAGGCAGTGGGAAATTATACGGAGCCCACCCAGGAATTAAATCAGGAGTGTGCCCTGACAGAACAGATGAGGGAAGAGGATGTTGCCGAATCTTGGGCGCCAGAGATGAAGGGAGCTGTGGCCCAGCAGGAACATGAACTTTTGGACTTGACAAATGAACTTGGAAAAAGCCAGATTTGGAAAGATAAAGTTTGGTTTGGTTTGGAAATGGGGGGTTGGATAGACCCCCCTATGCAGGGATGTTTGGACCTTTCAAGTCTGGCAATGGGCCGTGAGATGTTTGGGGTTGTAGGGGCTCTTAATTTTGGAGGGATTTTGAAACATGTTCTTAAATACCGCATGGAGTTTAGTGTGGACTATGGAAAAGGGGCTGATTTGTCGAGAAGGGTCAAAAACATTGTTAAGCTGGAGTTCCCACGAGTGAAAGGAGCAGGAGACAAAGGAAAATACAGTTATAAATATGAAGAAGAGCTGCGGAAGGGACATGGAAGAGACTTAAGGGCCTCGGATACAAGGTTACCAGGTTAATGCGCTAGATCGATGGCATAATAAGGACTGACAAAACCCGGGACCAGGAGGAAGGGACGCTGGATGAAGACTGGATTGTTTTTATTTCTTTCTTTTTTTACTACTAGGATTGTTTTATAAAATTGATGAATGTTAGAAAAATGTTGGAACGAAATTACTTGGCTTTAGCAAAAATGTTTAAAGAATTATGTAAGAATATTATGGTTATGAGAAGTTGGCAAAAATAAGATTTAAGTTTTAAGGTTCTTTATAGTAAGATAAGATTAAAATAGATTAAGGTAATGTAATGACAGAATATTATGAAATATGGAAAGGATTTGCTGCGACAATCAACAACTAGGATACAAAAAAAGGGAGGAGGAGGAGGTCAAAGAAAGAAGGTAATGACAGTTGAGGATTTGAGAATGATGGATTTGTTTTTGAGTGTTTGTGGTGTATTTTTGTTTTTTGAATTTGTATTGTTTGATGTGGTTTGTTTTTTCTTTCTTTTTTCTGTTTTGTTCTCTTTTGTAATTCTAAAAATTTTCAATAAATATCATTTAAAAAAACAACAACAGAAAACTCAAAACAAAAGCTGCATTTCCTATTCGACTTCTGAGGTGTGTTCGAAAACTAAGGCATTTACTTCCGGGTTTTCAGCATTCAAGTTCCGAAACGTTCGACTACGGAGGCATTCGAAAACCGAGGTACCACTGTATCTGACTTTTAGAAGACATCCGAAGGCAGCCCTGTTTAGGGAAGTTTTTAATGTTTGATGTTTTATCACATTTTAAATATTCTGTTGGGAGCCACCCAGAGTGGCTGGGAAAACCCAGCCGGATGGGCGGGGTATACATAATAAATTATTATTATTATTATTATTATTATTATTATTATTATTATTATCCCTGATATTTTTTTCAATAACGTTCAGGGACCTCTACCAAAAACACATTTTCAAACCATTCCTGAACACACCAACACAGCCTGCCCTCTGTGTAGAGTCACCTAGGCGAGAAATAGATATAGATATAAAACCCGCAGGTTTGCACATGATCTTTGCCAGAAGGCCAAGAAACAGTATTTCTGTTTGAAGGGATACGCAGACACCCAGGAGTCCTCAGCTGCTCTAGGCGCCTCACTGAGAGGAGAAAAAGAGGAAAGGGGGGGGGGCCCTTCCAGCATGTGGCACCTCTAGAAACTGAGCGCTCCTTCAGTGGCTAAAAATAATTACCTGCGTTCTGCCCTTCCTTGTCTGATGATTGGCAAAGCACTTTGCAAACCATTAATGAGGCTGCCCGACTCCCTTGTGAGAGGGATAATTATTCTCCATCTTGCAGGCTAGAGGCGAAAGAAGGGGGGAAACGTGATTTCCATAAAGGGCAGGGGATATGAATGTGAACCCAGAAGTCCAGAATTTCTCTTGCAGCCTCCGCTCTACTAATAGTTCCCATTATTCCGATTTTCATTCTTTAAAGGACTGAAAGGAGGGAGAATTTGCCATCTTCAATGGAAGTTAGAAGAAAACAAAGGCAGCCATGTTTATCCATTAAGAAAATAAGCCTCCACAATAGATAATTGGACAGTACCATTATTAGGAACCGACCAGAATGTAAAAAAAGAAAAGAAAATAGTGAGCTTTTGAGTTCTACAGAGCTCTTTGGCATGCTAAATTTTAAAACAGTTCATGGATCAAGAGTGAAGGGGTGGGGGAATCACAAGTCCATGCTCTGGTAACTTCTAGGTTAGATTACTGCAGTACATTATACGTAGAGCTGCTTCTGAAGATGGTTTGGAAACTTCAGCTGGTGCAGAATTAGGCAGCCAGGTTGCTCATTGGTGCAAGACAGTTTGAGAATATTACACCAATCCTGACCCAACTGCACTGGCTGCTGATTAGTTTCTGTGCCCAATTTAAAGTGCTGGTTTTGACCTATAAAGTCTTGAACAGCTCAGGACCGCCATACCTCAAGTACCTCCTCTCTCCATATAAACCAACCCAGACTCTGATCATCATCTGAGGCCCTTCTTCATGTGCCTCCTCCATGAGAGGTCCGGAGCGTGGCAGGGCCTTTTCTGCAGCAGTTCCCTGTTTGTGGAATGCTCTCTTCAGGGTGGTTCATCTGGCCCCTTCATTATACATCTTTAGGTGCCAGGCAAAAATGTTCCTCTTCAACCAGACCTTGGGCTTATTAATGTACTATGATTTTTAAATATGTTCCTGGGAGGGGGGCGTATTTTTTTGTTTTGCTTTTGTTTAACTATTTATGTTGTGCTTTTATCCTGTATGTTGTGAACTGCCCTGAGATCGTCGGATGAAGGGCAATATATACATTTCAATGATGATGATGATGTTGTATGTTGAAGGCTTGAGGGCTGCATTGAGAGACCTGCTGAATCAGACCAAAAGCCCATCTAGTCTAGCATTCTGTTCTCTTTGTGGCCAACCTGTTGCCTCTGGAAAGCCCACAAGCAGGAAATAGGTGCAACAGCCCACCTGTGACCCCCACCAAATAGTATATAATGGAGATATTACATAGTCATTGTAACTAGTAACTGCTGACAATAGCCTTATCCTCCATGTGTTTGTTAGTCTGAAGAAGGGAGATTGCAGATTTAGGCCCTATCTGCACAATATAGTCGTACCTTGGAAGTCAAATGGAATCTGTTCCGGAAGTCCGTTTGACTTCCAAAACATTCAAAAACCAAATCGCGGCTTCTGATTGGCTGCAGGAAGCCCCGTCGGATGTTCAGGTTCCAAAAGAATGTTCGCAAACCAGAACAGTCACTTCCGGGTTGGTGTCGTTAGGGATCCAAGACGTCTGAGTTCCAAGGCGTTCGGGATCCAAGGTACGACTGTACATTTAAAGCAGTATCCCACTTCAGGCAGCAATGGCTTCCCCGAATGGGATGTTTGCTTGGGAAGTGTAGTTTGTCAAGGGTGCAGAGAGGAGACCCTTATTCTCCTCACAGAACTACAATTCCCAGAGTTTCCTGGGAAAGAAGTATTGATTGTTAAACCTCTCTGGAAACTGTAGCTCTGTGAAGGGAATAAGGATCTCCTCTTGGCACGCTTGACATAGTTCAGTTCCCCGTATTATTTGAAGGAAGCCATGGCTGTTCAAGGGGACGCGGGTGGCGCTGTGGGTTAAACCACTGAGCCTAGGACTTGCCGATCGGAAGGTTGGCGGTTTGAATCCCTGCAACGGGGTGAGCTCCCGTTGCTCGGTCCCTGCTCCTGTCAACCTAGCAGTTTGAAAGCATGTCAAAGTGCAAGTAGATAAATTGGTACCGCTCTGACGGGAAGGTAAACGGCGTTTCGGTGCGCTGCTCTGGTTCGCCAGAAGTGGCTTAGTCATGCTGGCCACATGACCCGGAAGCTGTACGCCGGCTCCCTCGGCCAATAAAGCGAGGTGAGTGCCACAACCCCAGAGTCGGCCACGACTGGACCTAATGGTCAGGGGTCCCTTTAGCTTATGGCTGTTCAAAGTGGTATGATTTAAATGTATAAGGCAGATGTGTCCTGAATTAGTCTGTTCTAGATGCTTGTAGATATCAGGTCACGCCAGCTTTTGTCCTTTTCCCTTAAAAAAGGAAATTGTACACTTAAAGTATGCCTGACAACTACTGATAGGCCTTTTCCTGAAAATCTCAGGGGGGAAATGGTCTAAACAGGCTATTTGCATTGCTGGGAGCTGCTTTTTAGGTTGGAAAGGGTTAATTTCTAAAGCATTGGCATAGATCTAGCCTCCTGTGATTTTTAAGCCCAGTGATTTCTGTCTTATTCACAGTACCCTTTGAAATAAATGAAGGTGCTGTCAACATATTTCCCTTCACAATAATCTTCTTTTCTTCAGGCTAAACATACGTGGATCCTTCAGCCTGATGTTGTTTGTGGCCAGCTATCACAGGCTGCTGGGCTTCCTAAGCAGAGGAGAGAGGCCCTCTAGCCTCTCTGGTCAGACTGACTCCTTCTAACAGCTTATCATTCCAGGGGTAGACATTGGTCCATCTTGCTCAGTATTTCCTACGCTAACTCACAACACTTTTCTGGGGACATTCCCAGCTGAACCTGGCGATATTGGGGACTGAACCTGGATCTCTTGTAGGCAAAGCAGATGCTTTAGCTCTGATCTATGGCCCTCAGGAAATTACCAGGAAGGGAATGTAGTAGCCCTCAGACTGGAAACATTTCCACACTCCTAATGCAGTGGTTAGTGTGTTAGACTCTCTCTCTCTCTCTCTCTCTCTGTGTGTGTGTGTGTGTGTGTGTGAAAGAGAGAGAGAGAGAATGTTTGTGTGTTTGTGTGTGTGTGTGTGTGTGTGTGAGAGAGAGAGAGAGAGAGAGAGAGAGAGAGAGAGACCTAAAAAAAGTAACTGAATGATCTTGGGCCAGTTGCTCACCCTGACCTACCTTTCAAAGGAAGGCTGTACTCACCTGGTCAGCCTGAATAGCTTAGTCGGTTAGAGCGTGTTGCTGGTAACGCCAAGGCTGCAGGTTCAATCCCTGTATGGGATAGCTGCTTTATTGATTGATTGATTGATTGATTGACTGATTGATTTTATATACCGCCCTATACCTGGGGGCCTCAGAACAGTTCACAGAATAAAATCAAGATATAAAACCACAAAATACATAATAAAAATAAAAACAACCCAATAGCCCCCATAGTCCTGCAGTGCAAGGGGTTGGACTAGATGTTCCTCAGGAACCCTTCCAACTCTACAATTCTATGATTCTATGACTCTCAGTGGCCATATTTCTATTTCTCAACACATACAACACACCCCTAAGACAGTGCATAAGTCATCCTACACCAGATTGTTCATGGGCTTCTCAAAAAGCTGGAGCAACCTTGCAATCAGCCCCCACATAATTGGGATCAAGGAGGAAGTCTTCTGGGCTGACTTAAGGGCACAACACTTATCTTTTTTTGGGGGGGGGATATTAAGCATCCGTACTTCATATTTCCCACCCTCCTCCTCTGTCCCTCTTTTAAGCTCTCACCATACATTATGCATTAGCCATCCTTTTGCCCACGCAATGCTAAGCGGAGGCGGGGGGGGGGGGAGGGAACTTGGCCACTGTATGATAAAAGATAATGCCATCTCTTTAACGCTAGCATGCCGGGCCATCGGTGGGAAGCTGATAAATTCGTGGCACATTCCGACCTGCTCCCTGGGGCCTGTCCATCAAAATCCACCAAAAGGAAAAGAGAGCTTTTGATAATAGCCCTGAGAGAAGCATCAGGGAAATGCCAACAAAACAAGGAGCAGAAGGGAGGATTTCGGTGGTTCTAATTGCGGAGGGGGCTGGGAAAGAAAACAAAACAAACCTCGGAATTATAGGCTCTTGGAAGATGTAGCTGAAGCTCATCTAATCCAGCATGCTGTCATGCGGTGCCCTCTTCCATAGCCAAGTTCCACAGTGTACAGTATTTCACAAGAACACGCCCTAACTCACTCCTGCACCTCAGAGCGGCACATGCTTAGAATTTGTATGTGCTCATTTCAAAAATCTGAAGCCAGTTATAAATATTCCTGCTTGGGGTCAGTAATGAACTGGTTGAGGGCCGATAAACTGGGAAGACTGTTTTTGTTGGTTGGCCTGACTGGAGAGGTGATGCTCAATCTGTCCTGGACAGGGTTGCCCTCCTACAAGATGATATTCGCCATCTGGGGGGGCAGGATCTTCATTGATCTAGCTTTGCCATTGGATGCCCAAACTGCAGCCGCTCCTATGCATTTATCCATTTTTTGGTGAACTCCAGACTAGACTAGTCTGCTACTTGCTGTATGTGGGGCTGCCTTTGGAGACTGCCTGCAAAGCGTAGTCCAGGGTTTCCCAAACTGTTTTGGGACTACAGCTCCCATCATCCCTAGCTAGGAAGACCAGTTGTCACGGATGATGGGAACTGTAGTCCATAAATAGCTGGAGATCCAAGACTGGGAAACACTGGTTTAGTCTAAACTGCTGCAGCTGCTAACTGGGGCCTGCTGTTGTGTACATATCTTACTGGTTTATCAACAGCTTTATTGGCTGCTTCCTACCACAGTTCAAAGTGCTGGTGCTTACCCTTAATGGTTTGAAGACTTAAAGACTTCAGGTGAATCCAGGCAGGTGGCCACTGGGAAGAAAGCTTTTGGGTCTGCCCTCCCCATGGATGATTGCGTACCATCATCTCTGGCCTCTTTTCAATGCCAAGTGAAGATATTTACATTTCCCTCAACCTTTAAAAACTTTTAGTTCATCATTGGTTTTTTTTTTATGTGACTGGTCTATTTATTATTATTATTATTATTATTATTAATCTTTCATTTCATGATTGTTATTGTAACTTAGCCACTTTCTTTTTTTTTAATGATATTTATTAAAAGTTTAAAAATTACAGAAAAAAGACAACAATAAAAAAGAAAAAAACAACATAGAAAAGCAATACAACAATACACCAAAAAGAAACAAAGAATAAAAAAAAAACTAAAACACACATCCAATATTCCATGTCTTTACCTTTCCTTTACTTGTTTCATCGACCTCCTCACACCTCCCTTTTTTTGTATTCTAGTTCAAGTCACTATTTCAGCAAATTCTTCCCATCTTTCTCAATTTTTTTTCTATAATTTATCTTAACGATCTAACCTTAAATTTTTTCATTTTAACCCATTATCAATCAGCTTTTACTTAATTCTTTGTTGCATTTCTACTAAAACCATATAACTTCATTCCAGCATCCTTCTAACACTCATTAATTTTACAATGTTTCTGTAAGTATAATTTGAATTTTTTCCAATCTTCTTCCACTGACTCTTCTCCCTGGTCTCGGATTCTGCCAGTCATTTCTGCCAGTTCCATGTAGTCCATCAGCTTCATCTGCCATTCTTCCCTGGTGGGTAGATCTTGTGTCTTCCAATGCTTTGCAATAAGTATTCTTGCTGCTGTTGTAGCGTACATAAAGAAAGTTCTATCCTTCTTTGGCACCAACTGGCCGACCATGCCCAGGAGAAAGGCCTCTGGTTTCTTCAGGAAGGTATATTTAAATACCTTTTTCATTTCGTTATAGATCATCTCGCAGAATGCCTTAATCTTTGGGCATGTTCACCAAAGGTGAAAGAATGTACCTTCAGTTTCATTACATTTCCAACATTTGTTATCGGGCAGATGGTAGATTTTTGCAAGCTTGACTGGTGTTATGTACCACCTATAAATCATCTTCATTAAATTCTCTTTTAAGGCATTACATGCCGTAAACTTCATACCAGTGGTCCATAACTGTTCCCAGTTGGCCATCATAATATTATGTCCAACATCTTGTGCCCATTTAATCATAGCAGATTTCACCATTTCATCTTGAGTATTCCATTTCAACAGCAAGTTATACATTCTTGACAAATTCTTAACTTTAGGGTCTAACAATTCTGTTTCCAACTTTGATTTTTCCACCTGGAAGCCTAGTTTTTTATCCAAATTATATGCCTCCAATATTTGATAATAATGGAGCCAATCTCATACTCTGTTTTTTAATTTTTCAAAGCTCTGCAGTTTTAATCTGTCACCCTCTTGTTCCAAAATTTCCCAATACTTCGGCCATTTGGCCTCCATATTGAGTTTTTTCTGAGCCTTTGCTTCCATTGGTGACAACCATCTTGGGGTTTTATTTTCTAACAAATCCTTATATCTTATCCAGACATTAAACAGTGCTTTTCTTACAATATGGTTTTTGAACGCTTTGTGTGCTTTAACCTTATCATACCACAAATATGCATGCCAACCAAATACATTATTGAAACCTTCCAAATCCAAAACATCCGTGTTTTCAAGAAGCATCCATTCTCTCAGCCAACAAAAAGCGGCTGATTCATAGTAAAGTTTTAAGTCTGGCAGGGCAAATCCACCTCTTTCTTTAGCATCAGTTAATATCTTAAATTTTATACGAGGCTTCTTGCCCTGCCAGACAAATCTGGAGATATCTCTCTGCCACTTCTTGAAACAGTCCAAAATTTGCAATGTTTGAAACAAAAACAGCATTCTTGGCAATACATTCATTTTTATCACAGCAATTCGGCCTAACAACGATAGCTTCAAATTTGACCATATTTCTAAATCTTTTTTCACTTCAGTCCAACATTTTTCATAGTTATCCTTAAATAAATTCACATTCTTAGCAGTCATGTTAACCCCTAAATATTTCACTTTCTTAGCTAGTGTCAGTCCTGTCTCCTTCTGAAACTTATCTCTCTCAATCTCTGTTAGATTCTTCTCTAAAACCTTAGTTTTCGTCTTATTCAACTTAAAACCTGCTACCTGACCAAATTCTTGAATTAGTTCTAATACTCTTTTAGTGCTGGATTCTGGCTCCTGTAAAGTCAATACTAAATCATCAGCAAATGCTTTCAATTTGTACTGTTTGGCTCCCACTTGTATACCTTTTACCAATTGGTCCCTTCTAATCATATTTAACAAAACCTCCAAGACCGATGTAAAAAGCAATGGAGAGATTGGGCAACCTTGTCGTGTTCCTTTCTCAATCTTGAATTCTTCCGTCACTACATTGTTCACAATTAATTTGGCCTTATGTTCTGAATAAATTGGACCTATACCATTTCCAAAACCTTGACCCACCCCCATCCCCAATAAATTCTTCTTCATAAAACTCCAGGAAATATTGTCAAAGGCTAACTTAGCCACTTTCTTAGCCACTCTGGGAGCACTTGTGCTGAAGGGTGGGATAAAAATAGGCCAAATGAACAAATATTTCCCCTGAATTTCCTGTTCTTTCTATTGATTGGAGGCATAGGTTTTCTCACATTTACCCACACCTAGATAGTGTGCAGTTTCATTTAAGCACAGGCCAAAGTTTTAGAGACCCATACACAGCATGGCAAGAATGCTATTTTGATGTATGATATGTGTGTGTGTGTGTGTGTGTGCGCCCCTGATACAATTCTGATTTTTAAAGCTAAACTCTTACATTATTTTCTTCTGATGAGTTTGGTCGTCATTAGGTAATGTATTTTAGTATAATTTTTTTTGTCTACTGGGTTCTTTTTAATTAACAGCTACAGTTGTATTTTATTCTACTTTATTTGTAAGATGCCTTACAAATTATGCTAAATTACAATATAATCATTATACTGTCTACCTGGGGCTGAGATTACAAGGATCATCACGAGGCAGAGTTCTTAACGTCTCCCTTCAAAGGAATGTTTAAAATGGGAAATGTCCTCACTTACACACACACACACACACACACACACACACACACACATGAAACACCTTCACCATAGCTTCTCTCTGTTTCTGTGATCGGCCGCCAGATCTGTTCGGAGCTTTAGATGCCTCTGAATATGCCGTGTTCACTGGGGAACAGCCTGCCCTCAATAGGGACAGAGGCTTGCGTGCTACGGCTGAGGTCATGGAGACCTCCATAAGAACCGTGCTGCCTGTAATGGCCCACAGCTTCGCTTATTCCCTCCCTTCTCAGTATCTGGGACTATGGAGTAAGGAGGTAGCACACTTCA